GAGATCCATTTTTTCCATAAACCTTTCACTGTACAGTGATTTGTTTTACAATCAGAATGATTACTACAGAGTTAACATTATTTTTTAAACTGTATCCTTGACAAATAAATCCAAAGACTCTAAATTTCTTTAACACCTCTCTTTTCAAAACAACCCCCACCCCCCGAAGTTAGATCAAAAGTTGAGTTGGTCTCTTTGACCTTTACTTGCCTTAAAAAAACAAAGTAAACAAACTGCTTTTTTGGAATGTCCCTTGCAAAATGATAAATCATAACTTGATCAACTTCCCCAGGGGCCTTCAGAACAAAAGAAAAAAATTCAGCTACGTTCAACTGCTCTATAAACTCATCCTAGAGGGTAGCATTTTCCCTGCGACGGATTTTGTTCTCAGGGCAGCATTTCAACGACGGGGAAACCCGCTTTACTTTTTGATGCTGAGTGAGGATTCCCAGTCTGCGGGACAGGGGCCGGCGGCAGCCGGAGCCAGGGATCGCCCCAGCTTCGCGTCCGGCTTCTTTGATTGCCCAGCTGAAGCCTGCTCCGTGTTGAGTGATCAAGAATTAAGAGTTGCCAAGTTCGGGAAGCAGTAGACTCATTTCCAAGAGTCGTCTCCCCAAATTACTCCTGCTGCTAAATATGGAAGCTTCCTTTGTTTCTCAGTGCGTTTAGCATTTTCCCAGTCTACAAACGACAAAATTTCCCAGTCTCTCCCCTCTTCTCTCTTAATAATCCGAAGTACTTGAGAGCTCATTAATACTCAAGAGGGTTTTGTAGTTTACTTTGTAAAATGTCGAGAATGTCAAGAAGGGAGAGTTCCTCCAATAACATTATGGACATTTTCTGCCTCTTTTTAAAACCTCCCTGAATCCTATTTCTGACTTCTTTTCTGATTAATCACTTGGCTCACAAGATTATTCAGGAACCACGGTCTAGTGGCAGTGAACTATCTTTAGGAGACGAATTTGCTAGAATTCACTCTGTTTTATTACTTAGGTTTGCCTGTCGCGGCAGTTTCTTTTCTTATAAAATCTAGAGAGATTTCAATCCTTGCAATGAAATAGTGAGGTGGATTTAAAAAAAAAATCCAAAACACTATTTTCCCGTATCTTTCTAATCATTTTCATTTTATCTCAAAAATGGAGAATTTAAAATCTCCAGAAATATCTGGCTTCCCTTTTTTTTTTCTTACATCCTTAGTAGGTCAAAAAAACCCCACATGTAGTAAGTGATTACATTAGACAAATGTTTAAAAAATTCTGTCATGTGCAAATCATTTCAACTTGAATCCTTAAAACTTTGCTCCTATAGAACTTTTTATTGAAGTGTAATATTGTTATATATATGTGTATATTTATATATGTTTATATGTACATAAATACTTAGGCAAGTGAGATTATTGAGAAAGAAGATCTGGAACCAAGATACTAAAACCACAGTGCTTGCGAACTGGAAAACATACAGTTTTGTTTATCCCAGCTCTTTGATTTTAGGGAAATGTAGGCCGAGAAAACTATTGAGCTTACCTTAGGGTTGTTTGGCTCTGGACCTGGATATGCCATATAATTTTTCACTGAACTGTAGGGACTTCTTTTCCTCATCTGTAAAATGGGTCCATTGGGAGACCTGATTTTTAAGTTATTAAATGTGTACAATTTTGTGAGCAAAGGATTTGGGTCATGTGAGCACAGGATTCCATGTGACCAGTCAGCCTGGCCTTTTCACCAACGCCTAGGTTCATTTTAGCCTTGAATAGACATTCGCCATCCTTAACCCAAAGGCTGGGTACTGTCAGCTGGGGTTTTCTGCCCATTTGGGTCTGTACACTTTCATCAGCTTTTGACTCTGAAGAATCCACTTAGAGTTGATTCCTTTTGTGCAAGTGGCAGCAGATACTAGAATATCCAGAATTGTCAGAATCTCATTTCTTGCTTCCCCCAGCATCCCTGTCTCATTTTTGCATAGTTTTCAGCTTTGCTAAAAAGGGTCCATGTTGTACTTTTGGGAATTTCCTCAACCACTCACCATTTCAGGCCGAACATTAATGATTTACCCAGCAAGAGTTATTAAAATGGACGGTGGTCTCTGAAGAAGGGATATTTTGTCAAACCTACATCTTCAGACTAATTGGATACATCTTGCATGAATTGTGATTAATGCAAGGTAATTTCAGAGGATGGCTTTTACTAATTAATAAATCAATCACATTGACTCATTCTGGCGATCTAAACTTTCAAAGTTCATTATTGACTTGTTCAAAACCGGGATCCTATACATACATAGTTTGAGTGGTTTAAGGTATTTCTTAAGAAAGCCGGCAGATTGAGCAATACATAATTCAGAAATAAGTTGCTCAATGTGGGTCCTCTGCAAATAACAAGGCTGAGAGAGGGAAACTATAAAACAAAGGCACTACACTAATGTATTCTCTGCTTCTTGACTGATTTCACATTTAACAACAAAGCTCACATTATTATAAAGGATTTGGAAAGGTCAGCGGGAAGCATCTTACTACCCGTAGAAGGATTTCTAAATAGTCTGAGGCTCCAAATTAACTTAAAACAACAAAATAAAGAGAAGCGTTACCTGTTGTTGTGTATGACTCTAAAAGTCTACAGAGCTTATAAAATAAATGCAGGTGAATTTTTTTTTCCTTCTGCCCACGGAAGAGTTTAGTTATTTAGAAAGGCACTAGAGTTATGTTTTGCAGAAAGGAAAATGAAATGGTTCGTATTTTTCTTATCATGTCCTTTCACAGAAAGCAGGAAGGGGCCTTTCAAGAACGTCTCCCTGGACCTAATGGCAGTTGGGGTCTGAATCAGGTAGTGACACACACCTAGAAGCTTTTAGGATAAAAAAGAAAGGAAGAAAGAGGAAATAGTCAATTCAGTTCCTGTGTGAATTAAACCTAAAATGCCTTTCTCAAAGAGTAATTTCTGTTTTCTGTTACTAGAGTATTTAAACAATTTCTCCATTGAGGAACAGGTACTTAATGAATGCCCTTATCAAAAGAAGGCAAAGCCTGGGTCCGAGCCCTGGAGGGGTTACCAACCACATAAACACTTGCAGAACCACAATTCTGCCCTTCTAGAATATTCACTGCAGTAGACCTCAGTGACTCTGGACCCAGGATCCTACAGACTTCTGCCAGGCCTTTCTGGATGGGGAGGCAGGGGTCAGCGAGTGAGCACAGCTGCCTAAGGTGTGCGTGGGGTTACGAGAGGTGGGGCAGAGATGAATCTAGAAGGATCCAGAGCCTCAAGAATATCTATCCACACCTGCCCTGAAGAGCTGTTGCTCACGTGATTTCTTCTGCCTTTGGCATGACAATGTGCTCTTCACAGCCAATCAGGTTCTCTGAGTGGATTACCATTTGGTCAGTCATTTTGCTTGGGGGAGGAGGAGGCAGAAAAGAGGGAGAGAGAAGAAAATGAATTTCCTTTTAATTAAAAGAAGGAAGAAATAGAGTAATAATAACAATATTGGTTAATGATCATGGCAGCTAATTCGTGTGGATGTTTCTGAGGTACCAGGCCTGGGCTAAGCACAAGCTTTCTATTCTTAATTCCTTAAACCTCCGGTTAGGTGAACCTCACCCTAGCTGACACTCCCTCAGTTTCCTAAAATCATTTAGTCATTTTCCCTGAGGGCATTTGATGTTTTTCCTACCTGAAACTCCCATTCTTGCTGAGGCCGTTTATGTAAGACAGGTACACTGTCCAGGGTGAAGTTATGAGGTTCCTAATTAAAATGTGACAAGGGAAGAAATCACTAGATTCTTCTGTGATGTCATGTCCAGGCTCCGATACCCTAAACAGTCTAGCTTTTTTTCACAAGAGTCTCCATTCTGCTACTCGAAGCTGTGTGACCTTGGGCAACCTCAGTATTGCCATCTATAAACTGGGGGTATAATAATCAAGACCTAAGCATCCTTATGAGGGCAAAATACATTAATGAGTGTGTCTGAAACGGCCCTAAGTATAGGCTGGCCATCATCTTTTTGTGGTTGTGTTTGGCTTGTCTGCTAAGAAATTACCAATCGTGTTCATGTAGAGACTTTCTTCAGCCTGGAATTGGATGAACTAATTAGCCTATAAAGAAAATATTATAAATCAGTGGTTCTTGAGAAAATTTATCTCATCAATATCAATTTACCCTCTATGAAAGCTGCCAAAAGGTAAATTAATTTCTAAACGACCCATGTTTAGAAATGAAATTCTAGATACTTGGATGCACCTTGTCTCGTAAGAATATAGTAATTCCATGAGAGAAGGAACTGCGCCCCACCACAGTTTTCTGCAGTGGGCATTTATTGAATACTGCATTGACCGAGCAGTTATGCAAAAGTAATACTTCAGGTGGAAACGGAATGCCTGATGGGCTAACTTCAGTTCTTCATTTCTTTCCCTTGACAAAGGTAGGTTTTTCCAGCCAAAGGCACATAATAGTGCCTCAGATTTTTAAAAGTGTGCTCTCTGCATGTAGTGATATGTTTTCTTTCCTTGATGGTGTTTGTAAGTGCTTTTTTCTCACTCATTCCTGCCAACAGCAATCTGTCTCGATTTTATTGGACTTTGCAAAGGACCAGTGATTGATATTAGCTGCTTTTTAAAATTCACGTCACAATTTTCTGCTTTCAAGTTTACTGATTGCTTTCTTCTACTTACATTTATAGATATTATCCATACCTACATCATCTGGAAGGTACAGAGCACATTGAGAATAGCACTTGGGATGGAAGAATAGAGAGGAGGGAGAAAATTGGAAAAGGCACTTCACAGATCAGTTCACCCTGAACAGAAATGGTTTTGTTTTGCTCTGATATTACTTTTTTACAAGAAGAATATATTCACGTATTACTTGAATTCAAGTAATACACCAACACCCTGCAAACACCCTGAGGTATCTTAACCGTCTGCTGCCTACTGGGCTCACCTGCCAGGTGGAAGTAACAGGAAGCCGGAGAGGGGCAGCCGGAGAGCGTGGAAGGGGGCGGCTGGGGCGGGAGGAAGCAGCGGCTCAGGCTGTCTTAGGGCACCTTGTTCCCAGCCTTTTTCTGTGTCCCCCACCCACGGATTTCCCCAAAGGGTGCAAGGTCCTGCGCATCTCAAAATGCCGCAGCGCCCACGATGACTGTGTGAAAGTTGGTGCACAGCCTGGGTGGGAAGAGAAAGAGACACACAGGCAGAGAGAGACACACACACACACATATACAGAGGGAGACAGAGAGAGAGAGAGAGAGAGAGAGAGAGAGAGAGAGAGAGAGAGAGAAAGAGAGAGGTGGGCAGAGGGTTTAGAAATCACTGGTGATTTTCTGGACCGCACACTCACCTGTTTATTTTGATTCTTTCTTCAGTCAACTTATTCCCAAAATGTACTGGGTGAATCGGAAAGGGTGAGTTCAGTCACATTTCACTGGAAAGGGTCACTTCTTAAGTTCACATGAACTCACTCTTCGATCCTCCCTCACTGCTCTTAAGATTTACTTCTCTTTCAAATCCAATAACTTGTTTCTCATTCTGAGAAACGCTTTCTAGATGTGATTTCCTTTTTGAAAGAAAGACTTTGAAGTCTTTCTCTAGCACATCCTTTCCTAAAGGGATATGGTAAGAGGAGACAGGCTTTTGGGTCCAGAGCATTTAAAAAAAGTCACTTTCCAAGTACTCTGTCTTCCCATTAAGAGTCTTGAATTGAAACCGCCCAGCTGCTGGAAGACGTTTCCAAATGCATCTCTGTGGCTGGAACACCTCTGCTTCCATGAGCGGCTCCCAAACTTCTCTCTTTGGACTGTGGGTGCTGGGGGAATGCGAAGGTGGGCGGAGCAGAAGGGAAGTGCACTTTCATTTTTGAGTAAAGCCACTTCCATGCAAGGGCTATTGGCTTTGAATTAGCAAGGAATCTTAAATTTATTTAGTCCTGGTCTCCTAGGACTTCAAGGCAGCAACAGCCAAAATCCAGCGCTGTACATTTCCTGGGGCGTGTAGACTTCAGGCTTCTGGTCTGTGGAGTATTACCTTAATCCTGTCTGGAGAATCTATGCGGACGCTGCCAGGTTGAGCACCTGCCCCACAGTGGCCAAACGTGTAGACAGCAGTTCAAGCCTCTCAGTGCAGAATGAGATGTCTGTACACGAAGTGACCTTTAATTGTGTCTTAGAAACTCCTGTGAGATCTACATGTGGTTTCACTTATTCATCAGAGGTTATTATATTTCAAGCTGTTTTGTGTTAGTTTTCAGCCTTTAAATGAAACATTTTCTCTTTCATATATTTGATGTGGCTCAAAGAAGCTTGCTTTTTTTTTTTCCTCATAGATTTTATTGTTTGATTAAATCTTTTTGCAAGTCTGATCAAGGATAGCTTTTCTTTCTTTAGGAGAGATCTTTTCTTAAATCAACAGAGCGGATTCCACAGTAAAGAGGGATTTTATTTAAAAGATTTCAAAAAGGGAAAAGATTTCAATGGGAGTGAAAAAGAGATGTTTTCATTTTTGCATTGTCTGTCAGAAAGTTCGGTGGAAGTAAATACGCAGGCATTCTAAAGTTCGGATTTACGATGGACAGACTTTTGCGGTTTCAGCTAGATAGACATTCCGTTACAGAAAACACTTACTTAGCATTTTATGATTTGGGAATATCAAAGAGTTAGTACCTACCTCTCCCCACTCTTGCCTTTAATATCGATAGATGCTGGCCTGCTGGTGTTTGCTCATGATGTTCCAGCCTCCTGGAATGTCCTTTCCGTGTGTCTTTGTTGGACAAGCTCCTTCTTATACTTCAAGAGGAAACTCAGCAGTTTCCAGAAAGCATCCCTGCTCCCACAGCAACCTGGAGTTACCTCTGTCAAGGGCCTGCCAAGTTGTACTGAAATTATGTATTTATTTGGTGGCCCTGCTATGCCTCCAGGGCAGGAAATGTGTGTTGCCCTTTGTCCCTCTCCCCTCCTTGTACTAACTGGAACTTCACATATGTCTGTCACCCCAAACGGAGCAAAGACAAAAATGTGGTCAGTATTCACTTCACTAGAAAAAAGGACGATGAGGATTATATTGGGAGTAGTTAGTAAATAACATCACACAGTAAATAACATCTGTCAGACATACAACATGGACTATATGGATGCTCCTACATAGGATGTATTATGATCTCAGACGATATGTACTTTTCTAATTTACTGCATTAATTAACATTTCACTTTAAAATGTCTGCTCCACCTCCACATTGCTAATCATCAGGGAAATGCAAATTAAAACCACAATGAGATATCACCTCACACCAGTAAGGATGGCCAGCATCCAAAAGACAAACAACAATAAATGCTGGGAAGGACGTGGAGAAAGGGGAACCCTCCTACACTGCTGGTGGGAACGTAAATTAGTTCAACCATGTGGAAAGCAGTATGGAGGTTCCTCAAAAAACTCAAAATAGAAATACCATTTGACATAGGAATTCCTCTCCTAGGAATTTACCCTAAGAAAATAGGATCATAGATTCAAAAAGACATATGCACCCCTATGTTTATCGCAGCACTATTTACAACAGCCAAGAAATGGAAGCAACTCAAGTGTCCATCAGTAGATGAATAGATAAAGAAGATGTGGAACATATACACAATAGAATATTATTCAGCCATAAGAAGAAAACAAATCCTACCATTTGCAACAACATGGATGGAGCTAGAGGGTATTATGCTCAGTGAAATGTGCCAGGTGGAGAAAGATATATACCAAATGAATTCACCTATTTATTGAGCATAACAAGCAAAAACTGAAGGAACAAAACAGCAGTAGACTCACAGACTCCAAGAAGGAACTAGCTTACCAAAGGGAAGGGGTGGGAAGGGAGGAAGAAGGGGATTATGGGACATTATGATTAGCACATATAGTGTAGGGGGGGCACGGGGAGGGAAGTAGGGCACAGAGAAGACAAGTAGTGACTCTGTAGCATCTTACTATGCTGATGGACAGTGACTGTAATGGGGTGTGGGGGGGACTTGATAATAGAGGGAATGTAGTAACCACAGGGTTGCTCATGTGAAACCTGAGCATAAGGTTGTATATCAATGATACCTTAATTAAAAACATAATAGTGTCTGCTCCACGAGGGCAGGACTTTTGTCTTGATTTCTTTGCTGCTGTATCCCCAGGACTCAGAACAACACATTGAGATATAGTAATAGCGCAAAAATTATTTGTTGAAGGAATGAAATAATCTGTACCTCATTATCCCCCACTTCTGGTCATGATGATGGGGGAAACTGAGACAGTTCTCTAAATAATCCAAAGATTGCTAAGTAAGTGCTGGGGATGAGATGTACTGCATGGTGACTATAGTTAATCATACTGCATCGTATATTTGAAAGTTGCTGAGAGTAGATCTTCAAAGCTTTTATCATGAAAAAAACATTTTGTAACTGTATGGTGGTGGAAGTTCAGTTGACTTACTGTGCTGACTGTTTTGCAATGTACACATATATTGAATCACTATGTTGTACACTTGAAACTAATGTTACATAGATGTCAGTTATAGCTCAATTAAAAAAAATTCTCTTTTATCAGCATGTGAGGGACTTCAGTTATGTGGCTGGTGGTTACAATTCTCCAGTTGCACTGAATGTGAGGTTCAGCCTTAGGTGGCCAAATAGTACATCATGCGGTTGATGCGTCTCCTACGTGTCAAACAGTATATTCTTTTTTCATTCACAAAATCAGGCAATTCGATGAAAAAAAGATAAATCAGGAAAATGCATTATTCAGTGTCATGAAGAATTGCCAAAACTAAATTTTAAAATACTCTTTTGCTCACCTCTCCCCCAGGATTCTTCAAAGGGAAGGTGCTTATAGAACTTTCTTAACTTGACCCCAACCAAGGAAATTAAAAGTCAAAGCATTTGGTGTTTAAAACACATACTCTGATCCCAAGAACCAGCTAGGCTGTGTTCTGTAGTATGCCATCCTTTACTAGTAGAATGACTAGCACATAATAGCTGATCAAGAACTGTGCTGATGGATGAATGAATGAATGAACAAACGAACGAATAGTCTATCTCCGCTGCTGTTGTATAGATTGAACTTCAGGCACTGTGTGAGATGGTGAAAAGTTGTATAAGAAATTTCCCCTGCATTTACAATGTAGTGGTTGAATGGTTAGCCATTTAATTTGAACATTTAAGTGGCCACTTGAACGCCCAATTAAAAGTTTCCAACCACAGTTTTGCCTGTGTACACATTGCCGGTGTAATTAACCATGTGGGTAAAATACATTAGGTTTTTTGGTAATAGAAGAAATAAGAAGGAAATATATACACCTTTGGAAGCAAGATGAGCATGAAAGGAATTCTAGGAGTGAAAAACAACAGAAAAAATTAAAGCAGTTAGATAATATTTTTTCCTTCTTTACAGCATGCCCTGGCCAAAAGTAAATAAGTAAGTAAATAAATAAATTTATAAGGCCAATGCATGCAAGGTCTGGCCACCTAAATATCTTTAATCAGTATATCAGCTAACTTTTTCTGTGTAACAAACCACCCTAAAATGTTGCACCTTAAAGCAGGCAACTGTTTAAAAAAAACTATTTTAAGATTGTATTTTTTTAGAGCAGTTTTAGGTTCACAGCAAAACTGAGAGGAAGGTACAGAGATTCCCTGTATACTCGTTCCCAGACATGCACAGCTTCCCCCAACCATTTTTTTTCTAGGTCACATTTTTCTAGATTAAACCAAATAGCTGCTGGATGTTGTAGGATGTTCTTTCTCACCTGTTTGCAGGCCATGCTACTGGGTAGTCTAGGAGGCCTAGGCTGGCATGGCTTGTGTCTGTTCCATGGGGTCATTCATGCTCCATCAGGGCAGCTCCAACTTCTTCCCCTGATGGTCTCAAGGTCCCAAAGGGCAAGAAAAGTGAAATACATGTGTCTTGAGGCCTGGGCTCAGGCCCTGTGCCATATTATCAGGGCTTGGAGTTAATGCTAATAAAGTATTACTACTGGGGTAAACTGGTTTAGGTAAAACTAAGTCACATATTTAGTAAATCGACTCAATCTGGCAGACATAAACCACTGAATAGCCAACGCAGAAGAGAGGATATCACTGCTGGGGTTGCTGCATTTAGCAAAGCAATATTAGCATGCCATAGTTGGGCCATACTTTTACTAAATAATT